TTGTCTTCTAAGCGGCCTAAGGAACTTGAAAATTGGCTGATGAGGAACAACATGCATTTTTCCACGCCTTCTACCATAAACCATGCAAATATAATGCAAGACAACATAAAACAAAACCATTTAGTTTGTTCCCTGAAAACCCCTAGTATTTACTCAATAGTTAAACGAGCATCCGACAAGGTCCTAACCTAATTTTGGTCTGCTACAAAGGAAGTTGAGCTGCTGCAAATGTATGCTATTTGTGTCAAGCCATTCCTGACTCCAAGAACTGCTGTTCAGTATGACAGAAGCTAAAATAAAAAAGTTAGACCTGGAAAGTTTTCATGAAAATAGGAAGTCAACTAAAAAGTGAGATTTTACATGTGTCTGACAGAAAGTTACAGTGTGAGCTCCCACCTTGACAGACATAAGATGATCCGCACAGGAGCTCAACTTCAAGATACAGATCCCTACGAAACCTGGCCTCTTGAGCCCTCCTGCTCAAGGAAATGCTTGTTTAATATCACAGGAATCTCTATCAAATGGAAATGCAGCTATGGCAACCTGGGCACCTTCCTCAGCTATGCTTTCCTACTCTCCCTGCTGAAGTGAGTAGTCTGTCTGCACCCACATCTTAGCAAAACTTGTCCTTCTATTCAATCCCTAATCCAAGCTTTGAGAAGAAAGCAGAATTATGTCAGGTATTTCCAACGCACCGCTAAACAAGTATAGCTATGTTTTATTACTCAAGAGTCTGAAGTTTAGACACACACTAAATCTGTCCCAGGGTCAAGAGGAAGATTCAGATTATATGGGTTTAAAATAATAATTTAATAAGAATAAAGAATAAAATGATTCCTACCCTCCCTCTTCAGCAATCAATACCCAAACAAAGGTGACCACCACTGTTAAGTATTAAATGTAAAGCACCTAAAAGTCCATGAAAAATAAATCAAAATCTAAGGCAGTACGTGCACTGAACATGCACTGTTTGCACAATTCTCAAACACAGGCAGCAAAGATAGGCCCAAAAAACCTGAGTAACATTTGTTTGCTGTTCCAAAGATAAATCACACAACTTTGTACGCCTATACTTGGAACTAATTTTAGACTCCAAAGTTTTAGACACCAAAAACATTTTGTCCAGTGTATTCAACAAGTAAAACAGAACGAAAACAAAAAGTGGGTAAAATTATTTCTACACGGACCACTGAAATTTCCAGTTCTGGGTGCACTACAACTATCGACACAATAGTCCTTTAAAAAAGGGGGTAGGGGGGAAGGTGTTATATATTTCAAATAAATCTGAATAACATCTTAAAGTGCATATGCCTTACGTAGGAAGTTGTGGACAGCAGTCTAAAACTTGAAACTAAGGTAAAGTAAGAACATATATGCAAAATGAACAGGAAAACAAGTAATTTCTTAGTGATAAAAGAGTAAACACCCACACATGTAAAATGAGCGCTTCTTTTCAATTCTAAAGGACAATAACGAGCATAGCAGAAAACAGACATATCAGTTGAGGGAATTACACTTTAAGAGAAAGAGAGATTTTATCCGCACACAGTTTGTGAGACTGTGAAGCCATAACTGCGTATTGGAAGAAGGGAACCGCAAAAATAGTATCAATTCCACACACAGACTTAAGATTAACTCAGCAACATGTTAACTGAATTATACTTTTATCTCAACATAATTTAAGCAAGACAGACAACCTGGATGAAATTTAAGATTAAAAGCATCCAAGACATTATGAGTAAATATTGAAAAGGGAATGTTCTTCACAAAAGGAGGAACAAGACATCTTTGGTTCTGCGGCTACGAACAGCTGATGCTGAACGTTTCAGACTATGAGGATATAAAAGTAAAGGCGTAAAGAAAAACATGAGAAAAAATTCAAGCCAGTTACTGGGAGTTAAGAAAGGATGTCTCAACAACATATGAGATATTTAACAGTACTGCATTCAAACACATTTTTAATCTTGTGTCAAACACTCCTTTTACACTGAGGGACCAGCTAAGGAACCTTGCACTTACTACTTCACAGCATAAGCATGTACGAGCAGTGATGACTCTGTAGACAACAAATGGTAAGTTAACATACGTGGCACACCCAGTATCCTAAAAACTTTACCAGCTGACAACGACCAATAACCAAGAAAATCATTTGTGGATTACACTGAGAATTACAGAAATAGAAGTCAGTAGGTGCTATAAATCCTTTGGTCAAAAGAATTGCTATATTCTCAGACATTCCTTCCTCTAGCTTTATGAATGGTTTCATACTGTTACACGTAATGTAATTTGAGAGGTGATGAAGGAAAAAAAAAACCTTTGATGGGCTTAGCAGTTAAACAGTGAACGTTGTGGGCAAGGACAACGTAATAAGTCTTCACCAGTATCAGTCATCAGTAGTTCTAAATTAGCATAGCTTTCCTCATCCCTTGGTAATGATACTTTATAATTTGCTGTAACTTCTGTTGGTATGCTGCTATCTATACTCAAATTTCAGATTTGAGCAGTCCAACCTTTGGGAGTTAAATACAAAGTTTTGTTTTGTTTTTTAAAAAAAGTTCTTGCTCATCATAAAAGAACTTTTTAATAAGCTTAATTGGCACCATCAGTTTTCTTCATTAGGATGGGACAATTTTTTCAGTATTACAAAATGAACAGAGTAAGATAGCATCTAATATAGTTTATTCATCTCTTGCCAAACGTTTCCAGTACAGAAGCCCAAAATTTAATGATTTTAATTAATCTGACGTTTGTAAGCGATGAGCACTTACTCTTCTCACTGAAGCCAATAAGAGTTACTAAAGGTGGGCAGCTGTGAGTGTAAGGCCAATTCCCATATTTAAAGACAAATTTTGGTAACTAATTTTAGATGCCTGCATTTGAAACAGTCGGTCTCTCTGAATCTACATCTCGCCAGGGAGCGTACATCTACCATTCCAAAACTTAAAATTTTTTCACACGGATCCCCACAATGAACAGAATGATTTTGTTTTTATGTAGTGCTGTGGGGGCACGCACAGGCTGCTACACAGTAACAAAATGTGCCAATCCTCTACTAAATCTCTACCCCAAAGAGCTGAAAGGGCACGAGCCGTAAAGCACAGGAAATGCAAAACACGACACAACACAGACAGAATGACAAGTGGTTATTATACTGAAATGCGTTACAAAATAAGTGGATTTTCAGGAGTTTTTTTTTTGAAGGAGGATAGCGAAGGATCTTTACGTACGTTAATTGGGAGGCTGTTCCATGTGTAGGAGGCAGCGTGGAAAAAGACACAAAGTTGGGAGTGAGCAAAAGAGACAAAAGGGGAATTTAAGAGCGATGCTTGGGAGGTGCTGGCGGTAAAGAAAATGAGGACCAAGGTTAAGCCAAAACCAAGAGTGCCTTGAATATGGCTAACTTTATGCAAAGGAAATAAAAAAAGAACTCCTTTAGAGGCTTAAGAAGCAAGGAAACATGGGCAAGTATACAGGACAGGAAAATGATTCGTGTAGCATGTTCCATAGAAAAAAGTAAAGAGTTAAGAAGTGGGAGACCAGTTCACACCAAATAACTACCATAACATTCAATCTCAAATCACATAAAAGAATTAACTGTATTGAGATTACCACCAAAACCTAGCCAGACGCAGGGAGTGGTAAAAACATTAGACTGCTGTGATCTAAGGCTGTTAAATCATGTGAAAAAAATCATCACGTAATGTAAAAACCACAAGCCCAAGATAAATTCAAATGAAAAAGGTTAGCAAAAAGGATTTTTAAACTTGTCACTCAACATAGCAGTAAAATTTTTTGTAGTTGCTCTATAAGATGAGTAAACTCAATTGATGCACAAATAAAATTATGTCTATATAGCTTTTAGCTCTTGCATTCCTACTCATCATCTCTGCCATCAGCAGTTGTGAGGAATACACAAACTCTCAGTGCACACTGAACGTTGATGAAGAAAACTGCAAAAAATGCAAAGCTGTCACCCTACAAGAGAAATCAAATTTAGTAATTTTTAAGCTTATGAAGGACAATGAAATCTCATTAACCGATTTGTTCTGAGCCAAGTAGCCTTTTCACTTGGTCTAAGTTTACTTACTTCCAGATTACAATTTTAGTTGTGTCACTGAGAAGTACGTATGCATTAGCTACTGACAGCTAAGTATAAATAACTGAGCAATTTGTCAGTAACATCAGTAATGGCAACTTCTCTACTACTAAAGCCTTAAAAAGTAATATTATCACTTCGCCTTCTTGCCAATATTTTCAAAGGAATTATAAACACATTTATTACTCTTAGCAAGCGTTTGATATCTCTTGGGCTTAAAACAAAACCCAGACTCAAGCACCTTCCATCTTACTGATAGGTGTAGAGCTTGAATATATATCTCTCTGAGTTTAACTCATACGTCACTGCTGCTTACCACTACAACAGGTGAAACTAAACTCTACCACACTTTCTTGGAAACTTAAAAATTGACATTTAAGTCTCTACTCCTTTTCTATATAGTGAAAGCATATCGGTAGGCCTAATTAGCCAGTGCTTACTAAATTTTCATCCCACTCATACCGATGTCCCAAATTCACCAGTTAAAACTAACGATTGAATGTTGGTCACTTTCACGACATCGCAGGGAAAGGAGTTAGTAAAGCAGTCTCTCGCCTTTTTTTTTTTTTTTTTAAACTACAGGAAAAAGAAAACATTAAAGATATTTCTGATCTCTATTTTAAGAGATCTCACTTTAGGAATAGTTTCTTTTAACTCTGTCTAAATCTTCTAGGGAAGCTCTGTTTTGGTTTAAAAATGAAATCTGACATTTTAAAAGATTCTCCATAGCCTTTTGTAGGTTTCAAAGGGAAGATCAAAGTAGACTGAGAACAGGACGTCAGTTAGACGATTAATTATCGACCAAAAGAATTATGTATCTCTGCATTATACGAGCATACACCACACACACTTCAGTTTGTTCAAGCTCACACTATCTCAGAAACTCAGGCAAATCTGTACTTACCCACAAATCGTGTTCAGCATAGTCAAACAGGAGCCAAACCTTTCTGTCGCTGTGAGAAAGGAAAACCTTCTGTAACGCAATCACGTTGGGGTGCTTCAGCTCTCGTAAAAGCTGCAAAGAAACACAACAATCTTTTTTTTATGTCTGTACTTGCTAAAGACAGACAGACAAACAAACATCAGGTGCCTTACCACAACTAAACAAACCAAGTTACTCACGCCATACTGTAGCCATGCAAGCTAGCGCCCAAGAAAGCAAGGGTGCAGCTACGCAAACCAGCTGCTGAGTGTTAGTTAACACAAATTTATTGCATCTGAGCAGTCACCACTGCAACTGCTTGAATGCATACTCTACCCAGGACAAATGCAAGTTAGCTGAGCCTTCTTTCAAAGAGGAGTAACTAGGACAGATTTATGCCAGGTTATAAACGTGCAAGCAGACAATTAGGGCAGATACTAAGGCTGTAGATTCATTAGTTTCTCAGTAACTTATTCAGCTAACTCAATCCTAAAACAGGCCCTAGAAAAAAAGATGCCAGCGATTCAACGCATTATCTTCAAAAAGTCAAAATTAGAAGGATGTAAAGAGCCTCTGTTGTGCAGGCTCATTGTTCTACAAACAGCTGACCACCACTAGCTATGCTTCTCCCTTTCCAACTCTCAGCTCACCCCCAAAAATAAGAAGTTACTTCAGAAAGTATACAGGACATGCTGTGTGTTTCCCAAGTTGATATAGCTGTATGTGCATCCCTAAGCCAATGGGTGCATAGCCATTCATTTATCTCAGATTCTATCTTAAAGTAAAAAATGTTATTGCATATAAACCTAACAGTTCTCCTGTTACAGAAACATCATTATGGTGACAAAAGTGAACATCAGAATTTAAAAATGCCAGAACAAAGCTTCTGCAACTGTACTTTTCTCCAGTTGTTTGCGTGCACGATACAGTGTTTGACTGCCACACAATTATTACCTTAGCGTACAACTTTCTTCTGCGCGAGATCCTTGCTTTACTTGCATGGAAGTCTAGAGAGCTCTTCCTCCCAAAGCAGGAAGGTCATTTCAAAGAAAAGTTTACCAAAAACTGCTAAGAAATATTATTCTTCGCCTTCTTCTCAGAAGTAGCTGAGCCACTATGATTCGTATTTAAAATAAGGACAGAGGCAAGCCAGAGAGGGCCAACCACGCCAGCCCAGGTGGTGAAGCCTGCCAAAGTCCCGGGACAACGAAAGCAGCATCTCATACAGAAACTACTGAGCAACTTTAAAAACAACCAGCGCTGCCTGCAATGACAGTACCCAAAGCACCAGATACTAGGTAACTGGGATTTGAACTCTGTCGTAAATAAGAAACAAGCCCTTATTTGTATTGAGAAGGGCTATCACCCTCAAGGCGTCCGCAAGGTGGAAAACAGAGATAAAGGCCCCAACACGGATGAGAGACGGCAGCTAACGGAGTTGTATACAGCACGTCGGCTGAGCCGCAGGAAGCGAGCGCACGATCTTAGCTCTCGGCCAACGCATTCAGCGCCGCAAGGGAGCTGCGTAGCTGTTATCGGAGCCCCGAACCAAAGACGCAGGGAACGGCAAGCGTGGGAAGAGGAAGCCAACGTGAAGGCCTCGCCACAAAGGGCCGATGTGCTCTTGTCTGCATCTGCAGCAAGTTAAAGGCAACCAGGTCTCAGACCTTTTGACTAACACAGTTTCTTTAAATAAGAGCCATTTTTAATAGATAGGGAATAGCCACAGCAGCACTTAAGACTCCTGCATCTAACGTTTAAACCCCTGACACTCCTAAAAGAGGAAAGCTACAACCTGAGTACTCGTACAGCAACAATATCCACCCTTCTTTTAATGGTTGTTTCAACTGCTGTTCAGTAATCCAGAAACGAACCCAGGATTAGTGCTGCGTGCCAGCAAGCCGAGGTCTCACGGTTACTACACCCACAATTAGCGAGCACATGAAAGCATGCCCAGCTGCTGAAGTCACCGTTTGGCCAGATGAAATCAGTCCTCCGAAGGAGCCAGGCAAGCAAGGCCTCCAAAAGTACCACTCTCTTGCCAGTGCTATTTTTTAAGATATTGCATTCATAAAAATGATTGATCATCTCTGTTTTATCTGAAAATTGCTTGCATCTGCAGCACTACTATATAAATTACTCGGCACTGGTTTATAATGGTGCATCAGTGAATGGAGTATGGTACCAGGCACATTTGAGAGAGAAGTCTTCCCTCCCCCCCGCAACTTTACAGAAAAAGACACAAGATGCTGATTTTACGGAAAAAAAAAATTAAGGAACGAGAATAATTCTCATTTATATTCTCCTTTGGCCATACAGGTATCTGCCAAGACAAGAGATCTTCTAAGTATTATTACAAATGTTTACATCTCTTCCCATTTTCCAGCAAACTGAATCATTTAAATGCTTTTTGTACCATGCAGGAAGTGATTTCCTCCTTTTGTTTTTTCTTCTCCTTAATATTATGAATTTCTACCTCTAACAAGAGAGAAGTTGGTATCTACTGAACTGAACAGTAGTCATTTCTAGGTATCACTTAGGTGAGATAGCAAAATTATTTAAATTCACTTAAACAGTAAATTACAGAACTCTAGACTATACAAAATCTAGAGATTAAGAAAAAAATTAGAAGCACCACATAAAATCCCTATATCGGAAAGTCGTTTTTACTATTACTAAAAATATTGAAATTCGATAACCTTTTAATCTACGGAAGCCCAGCCAAGAGGGAGAATTTCTAGTGTTATGATTTAGTGGGTTACTGAGCCTGTCATTGGCAGCATACATCATGACAGCAGAATGCTGTGACATGTTCAGAAAATAATCTTTAAACTAGGAAAAAAATCTTACAGCAGATACATTACTAGACTTTTTTAATTATTACTACATTTTCCTTAAAGATACTATTTGCAGCAATATGGATATATAATAACTCCATCTTCTTTAAGAAATGAAATAAAGAATTCTCACAAAATAAAAACTAGGCAGGAAAAAAAAAAGCTAGAGAGACTACAGCTCCATATCAAATGCTAGCATTTAATAAACAAGGTAGCAGAAATACTACGTACGGCATAGGAATAAAAAAGAATGCCCAAAGTTCTTTCCATTAACTGAAAGACACTATGCAAAAATGAGACAGGAATACGTGCATATTAGGCAATTCTAAGGAACAACATTGTTAGTGCCAAATAGAGAAATTTTATGTAGCTATGGTCACCTATCAGAGCAGTCTGATTAACAAATGAAACCTGCAAGGCAAAAAACTTAAAAAAAAAAAAAAATCCACATCATGAAAAAGGAAGATTCTTTCACATTTAAAAGAAAAATGGTAAATTTGCTATCCAAAATGGCAATAATATATATTCATTTATAATGAGTAAACTTTTTAAATTCATCTTTTTCTTTTGATTCAACTTAGGTGGAAAAAAAAAAAGCGCTCTTATCAAAACCAAGATTTTTTCCACGTGCCCAGACTCAAACTGTTCACGTATGATCTTAAACAAAGATTTTTATAGAAAGCATTAGGAAGGACTAAGTTCGTTTCATAGCACATGGGTTGAGCTTCTGACTTAAAATGTATGTATCCGACCTTAAGCTGAAGAATACGGTACTATAAGGCAACAGAGAAAACAGCCTCTGTAAAAAGGTATTACACTGTATTTTACAGCTACTGAATGACTGTTTATAGCTGCAATCATAGATGGAAAGAGCTCCCACCAAATTAATAGAGTTTGTTGGCGCGCGTTACAGAAGCACTCGCTACCTGCCCATTTTTTCAAGTCTGTTCTGCTCTGAAAGCAAATTAACATTCCTAAAGAATTTCAAGAGTAATTTTTCTAAACTCAATTGTAAATGAACAGATTAAAAGCAATCAATTTTTAAACTTGCTACCTAGAAGACCATGAGATGTTCCCAATACTGTAACCATAGCAGCAGCAACAGCCTTATAAACACAATATATTTTCTGCTCAAGAAGAGCCGTTATACAGCAAAACACTACCTATAGACATAAAATCTTACAAAGCATCTAACAGCTATGCTTAAGAGGACACTCAAAATTTAATACAGAATGTTTGCAGAACGGGTTCCCTGAGCTGAGTTCATTTTCTATTTATATCAGACACTGATCAATATTAAAGATTAGACTGAAAATCGGTCAAATCCTATTATTCCACCTTACAGTATGTAAGAGGAAATACTTGGAAGTTATCATTTAGAATATTTAAATTAGTTTTTATCTTACCTATTCTGTGCTCCAGCAGATGAACAAATAAGTTCATTATGGAGGAAGACAACTCAATTTATGCATTATTCTCCCTTATCTATTTTAAGTGAATACTTTCAGCAATTTTCATAAATAGTCATTTTGGAAGACCTTTTGTAGTTTTCACAAATCATGGATCTTTATACCTCCTTCTTCTACTGAACTGCAACCCTAATATAACAGCAGACCATAAGAAATTTCATGTAAAATGGCAACTTTCAAATGGAAAGAAGTGACACGTGATGCAAAATGAAGTATTTTTTTTAAAGACTTTGTTACACTCTGGCAGTTAAGAACACAGGTCCCAGCGACAGCAGTCAGACCAGAGAAGTGCTGCCTTTGCAGTCCTAGCACCTTGCACCAAGGACAGGAGCTCTGCTTTCCCAAACTTACCTTGCAATAGCGCTAGACATCAGTCAGAAGAGATCAGAAACTATAGCTTAGGGCAAAAGTGACTAGCATGAGAGTCATGAACAAAAATTTCATTAAGATTTATGTCTAAAAAAGATCTCCCCTAGAGACTGACTGTAGGAGAAGAGAGGGTGACCACCGGGACAGAGCCTAGGGTACTCACAGGTGTTTGAAGAGCAGAGATGAGGGAAACCATTCCAGAAAAAAAAAAAAAAAAACTGAGAAGACACGATCAGAAAGGAAGAAAGGACAGGAAAAAAATAAAAACATGGAAATCAAGACGATCAGAAAGGAAGAAAGGACAGGAAAAAAATAAAAACATGGAAATAAGAGACGGATTTAGCTAAAAAGAAATCTGAGACTTTGGAAACGGCATTTTCATTTAAGCAGAGTGGAGGAAGCCAATAACGTGGAAGCA